GCGAGAGAGGGAACACAAGCAGGGGGAATGGGAGAGGGAGAAGCAGGCTTCCTGCTGAGCAGAGAGCCCAATGTGGGGCTCCATCCCAGGACTGTGGGATCATGACCTGAGCCAAAGGCAGACGCTTAACGACTGAGCCACCCAGGAGCCCCAAATAAGTAAGATCTTAAAAACAAAACAAAACAAAACAAAACAAAACAAAACAAAACAAAACAACCCTGTTGGAGAAATGACTAATGAGAATGTTAATCATCACACTTTTATAATGGTAAAAAGGAAAAACCTAAGTGTCCCCAATAGGGAACTGGTTAAATAAAGCATGCATGACACATTTATATTATTAGCACAGAAACACTGATACATTGTTTGTGTGCGTGGGGGGGAAACACATTCTCAATATACATATGTAATACATAAATATATAAAATAGCTTTTCTTAATATACAGAAAAAATGCTGTAAACCATATATAAAAAATGTGTGATCAGAATTGTGGTTAGCACCTGGCTGGCTCAGTTCAGTAGAACATGAGATTCTTAATCTCAGGGTTTTAAGTTTGAGCCCATTGTTGGGTGAGGAGATTACTTAAATATACAATCTTTAAAATAATAATAAGAATGGTGGGTAATTAAAAAAAATATTCTCTGAAATGTTATAATTTAGATTATTAGAAAATAGAATATAGACCATAATGCTCATTTGGAACTTTAGCCTACCTCCCTCAATTATTTTATTTTTATGCTGTTTTTTACTACTTACTGTGACCAACCACCCTTGCATATCTTGTATATTTTCTTAAAATCTGAGCACAGTTTCTTAGTAGCCACACAAATTCTTAAGATGCAAACATCATTGTAAAAAATAGAGATTTGTTATATTTTCTTCCAATTTCCAGACACATTAAGTAAATATGGGTAAATACAGCCTGTCCTAAGTATTTCACAACTAAAATGAGTTCTTTTTGTGAGATTCAGGTCCGCTTTAACTAGGTTTTATCTCATTCACAGAACAACTCCTCTATTTATTAAAGCAGACCCTGGCTTTCTCTTCTTTAAGGCTGAAGTAAATAACATTTTACCCAAAACTTTTTTCTGATTAATACCTACTTAGGCTCATTTACCCACCATCTACCACTCACAGACCTTTTATTAGCAGATACAGTTATACTGTAAAATACAGGGAACATGGGGTGCCTGGGTGGCAGAGTTGGTTAAGCGTGGTTAAGTGTCTGACTCTTGGTTTCTGTCAGGTCGATATTTCAGGGTCATGAGATCAAGTCCTGCGTCAAGCTCTCTGCTCAGCGCAGTCTACCTAAAGAGTCTCTCCCTTTCCTTTGGCCCCTCCACCCCTCTGAAATAAATAAATCTTGAAAACAAAAAAAAAGTACAGGGATCACATCTCACCTACACTGTGTTCTTTTTTTTTTTTTTTAAGATTTTAATTTATTTGAGAGAGAGAGAGAGAGAATGAGAGATAGAGAGCACAAGAGGGAAGAGGGTCAGAGGGAGAATCAGGCTCTCTGCTGAGCAGGGAGCCCGATGCGGAACTCGATCCCAGGACTCCAGGATCATGACCTGGGCCGAAGGCAGTCGCTTAACCAACTGAGCCACCCAGGCGCCCTACACCGTGTTCTTTTCTTTAGAAAAAGGATTTCTACCATTTAATTAATATATCACCTCGATTTTTTTGTAAGAACACTTATGTTCTACTCTCTCAGCAATTTTCAATTATATGCATTAGATCCTCAGACCTTATTCATTTTACAGCTGAAAATTTGTACCTTTTTACCAACTTCTCCCTATTCCCTGCACCCTGGCAACCACTTATCTACTCTTTCTATGAGTTTGACTTTTTTATTTTTAGATTTCACATATAAGTGATACCATGCAGTGTTTGTCTTTGTCTGGTTTATTTCACTTAGCATAATGCTACTCTTTAACTGAGTACAGCATTTCAAATTTGGTACAGTAACATATTTTAAATATATGGCATTTATTGATATTTAGAGCACAGTATTTAAAAATTATCCACTGCAATTAAAAAAGAGTCAAGATGCTGTATTTTAAGTCATTGAAAAACTACATTATGAAATCTAATCATAAACAACAATAAAGAAAAACTTAACCTAGGAAGTCAAGCTTCTAAATTTTAAGTGAAAGAACATGAGTTTTTAAAAGGTTTAAAGAATGATTTCCAGGTGTGGCACCTCGCTGGCTCAGCTGGAAGAGCATGCAACTCTTTATCTTGAGTTTGAGCCCCACACTGGGTGCAGAGATTACTTAAAAATAAATAAACACTTAAAAAAATGATTTCTAGGTAATTGCCAGGCTTCAAGTATCTTTATAATTTTTAAAAGGATAATAACCAGGTATTTCTTAACTTCATACAGAAGGAAAAGGTGGTTATGGCTCAATGTGCTAGATTAAATCTAATAAAAATTAACTACTAAAAGTTTCCATTAGAGTAGGTAGATCAAGCCTAAATACAGAACATTGCATTACATCATTAGGGAATAGGCAGCTTAATCTTTCCCTGCTCAATTAAAAAAAAAATACATGTCTTGATTTGAAAAAAAGCCCATCACCATAGAAATGACTTAGGAAGTGAAAATATTCTACAAGACTATTACCAGAAATAAGTTTGATGTATATAGTCTTCCTATATTTTTCTATGCATATATATATATATATATATATATATATATACACACACACATACATATTTCAAAACAGAATTGGGATACTATGAATATTCTTCGGTAGCTGTTTAAGAAATCTCTATTAAACATAACTTTGTCAACAAAATTTACCTTAAATACAGTTTAACTTTCACAAACATGATATGTCTGATTGAAATGGAATATTTCTGTGATCTTGATCACTTAGCTCTGAATTATTTTAAAATGTGGATATTCTAAATATATCAGAGTAATAGCAACTTGTAAATATAATTTAGCAAAGAACATGTAGTATCAAAGGTATAAACAGAGTGCTATATAGAAATGTCAAGAAAATGAGAACATGATTGTAAACAACCAACAAGCTTTTAAAAGTTAAAAGAACTTTTAAAGTAAGTCAAAAGGAATTCCAGGGCGCCTGGGTGGCTCAGTCGTTAAGCGTCTGCCTTTGGCTCAGGTCATGATCCCAGGGTCCTGGGATCGAGTCCTGCGCCAGGCTCCCTGCTCCGTGGGAAGCCTGCTTCTCCCTCTCCCACTCCCCCTGCTTGTGTTCCTGCTCTCGCTCTCTCTCTCTCTGTCAAATAAATAAATTAATTAAAAAAAAAAAGGAATTCCAAAAAAACCCCTAGGAATTCCAAAATCTCCATTAGAAAATTAAACAGAGTGTCCAAGAGTTCTGTGAATCTATAATTTTCTAAAGTTCTTATGAACATAATAGTTGCCTATTCAAAGCATAAATCAGGTATTTCAATAAATATTTGAACACCTATTTGCTAACACCTGGAAGGCAAAGGAGTTTATACCTACTAGGAAATACAGTGTCTGAGTGTGTATATTTATTACACATATTCACATGTGTATATACATATATTATACATAACACATATAAAATACAATGTCTTAGTAAGAGCACATGCACACAAAGTACAAAAATAATACTAGAGTGAAAGTGCTCCTGGGAACAGATGTGAAGGGTGACTAAGAGTTTGTTTTGTGGGAAGGCAAGAAATGAAATTTTTTTTTTTAAGATTTTATTTATTTGACAGAGCACAAGCAGGGAGAAGAAGGCTCTCTGCTGTGCAGAGACTGTTCATAATGTCTCCCCCACAAAGAACCACAAAGCCATTGTGGAAAGAGCAGTCAGCTGGCCATCAGAGCTACCAATCCCAATGCCAGGCTGCACTGAAGAAAATGTAGACAGCTTATACGCACATTGCATTCGTGTTAATAAAACCATAAAACTACAAAAAAAAAAAAAGTGTACTTTGTGTAAATGTGGAAGCTGAGATTGGAGCGGAAGAACACCAATTTTATGAGGGGCTTGCACATAAAGATGGTACTTGGCTGTCTTCTCTAGCTACACTTATTCTCGTGGTTGACCTCAAGATAATCTTACCACTTTAATGCTGCCATCTTCAAAATCTGTCTCTAGCTTAGACATCACTCCTAAACTCCAAAGCATATGTAGTAGACAATTCAAATTAAACATACCCAAAACTAGATCTCCGATCCCCTTCCCCCAAATCTGCTTCACCTGCAGCTTTCTCTGTTGATAGCCTCCCCATCCTTGACTGCAAGTTACTCTCTTACCTCCTTTATTTAAAATGATACCTCAAGAAAGATTATTCTGAGAAATCTGTTTTTCTTTGTAATATTCCTGACAGGCTTTCTTATCAATCAGGATTATGTTTGGCCTTGAACAAAGTTTGGAAGTGTTCCTTCTTACTCTTCAGTTTTGTCAATGTTTGCTTCAGGTATTTCCAAGTTATATTAAGAGCGTAACTATTTGGGACTGTTATAAGTTGATGAATTGGTCCTTTTATCCTTTTGAAATGTCCTTTTTGCTGTAATATTCCGTCTCAAAATCTACTTTGTTCAATACATACCGTTTTTTTCTACTCAATGCTGCACATGTATCTTTTACCATCTATTACTTTCAACTCTTCTATGTCCTTGTAATTTAAAGTGTCTTTTGTAAACAGCATATACTTAAGTCCTGTTCCTCTAATCTGACAACGTATTTTTTAAATTACACAATTCTTTATTCTAAATAGTATGCAATGTGCAGGTATTACTTTTCTTTATTAAAATACCACGAGGGGCGCCTGGGTGGCTCAGTCAGTTGAGTGAATGACTCTTGATTTGGTTTTGGCTCAGGTCAGGATCTCAGAGTCGTGGGATGAGTCCTGCTTTTGGACTCGTGCTCAGTGCAGTCTCCTTAGCCCTAACCCCCCATCCCCTCTGACCCTCCAGAGGCACACGGGCTCTCTATCTTAAATGAATGAGTGAATGAGTGAAATCTTCAAAATAAAAATAAAAAAATAAAATAGCATGATAGAGTAAGGGGGAAAATTGTCATCACATTGAGTCATGCTAATCTTCTCTGTGTCATTCCAATTTTAGTATATATGCTGCCAAAGCAAGCACTGACAACTGGAGCATTTGGTCTGTCCAGACTTAATATAATTATTGATATAGTCTATTCAAGTCCACCAGCTTTCAAATTTTCTATATGTACTCTTAGTTGTTCCTTTATTTTCCAAGCCTTTTCTGGGGGATCAATTTTCATTCTTAGCTTTTAAAAAAATGTTTAAAAGTTTACATAAAATTAAATACACTTTTCTTAGTGTATAGTTCTGAGTTTTGACAAACGTGTAACGATAACTATCAAGATTTAGATCAAGATACAGAATGGTTCCATCACCCCAAAAATCTCCCTCATGACCCTCCATAGAGTTTCAACTCTAACACCACTCCCAGGCAACCATTAATGTTTTCTGTTCCCCGTATCTTTGCTTTTTCAAGAATGTCACATAAATGGAATCACATAATACATAGCCATTTGCTTGGCTTCCTTCATTCAACATAATGCCTTTGAGATTTACCACACTGTTGTATCAACAGTTCTTTCCTTGTTATTGCCGAGTAGTATTCCATAGTATGGATATACCACAGTTTATCCTTTTGTTGAAAGGCATTTGGGTCTACATACACATTTCTCTACAGGTTCTTGTGTGAATGTGTTTAAAATTTCTCTTAAAAGAAGTAATGCTGGGCCATAAATATATGAGAGTTCCAGTTGTTTTGCATTCAGCATTTGGCACTGTCAACCTTTAAAAATTTATGCCATTCTAACAGGCGTGTAATGACAATTCATTGTGGTTTTAATTTGCACATTCCTAAATAAATGATGTTGAGCATGCTTTCCTTTATTTCTCTGCCTTCATATAACTTCTTTGGTAAAAGGGCTATTCAAATATTTTGCCCATTTAAAACAAACTGGGTTCTCTAACTGGGTTGTAAGTGTATTATGGATACATGTCCTTTGTAAGCTAGTATATTGCAAATAATCTGAGGCCCCTTCCCACTTTTTACATTTCATTTATTTTTCTCTTAGCCTTATGGTATAATTATACACCGTAAAATTCATTTAAATGTATAATTCAATGACTTTTAGACTATTTACAGAGTTGTACAACCATCACCTCAATTCAGCCTTAGAACATTCACATCATACCCCAAAAATCCCTTGTGCAAATCTAAAGTAAATACCTTTTCCTACCCAAAGTCAGCCACTAAATCTACTTTCTACATATCTGCTTTTTCTGGACATTTCATATACATAGAATAAATGTGATCTTTTGTACTACTACACTTCTTTCATGCAGCATGATGTTTCTGAGGTTCATCCATGATGTAATGTGTCAGCAGTTGAACAATATTCCACTGTAAGGATATACCACATTTTATTTATCCACTCACCATCTGACGGGCATTTTGACAGTATTATATTCGTGGCCATTATAAATAATGTTATGAATATTGCATATAAGTCTGTGTGTGGATGTAAGCTTTAGTTTTCCCTGGTAGATACCTAGGAGTGGGAGTGCTGGGTTGTGGCAAATATGCGTTTTAAAGAAACCACCTTTCGTAGGTAGAATAATGGCCCCAAAGGATGTCCATGTTCCAATCCCAAGAATCTTTAATACATTATTTTACATGGAAAATGCACTTTGCAAGATATGATTAAGATCTTGAGATGGGAAGATTAACCAGGACTATCTGGGTGGGCCCAATGTAATCAAAGAGGTCCTTAAGGATCAGAGAAGAGAATAGGACAAAAGAAGCAGAAACGAGAGATTTAAGATGCTACGCTGCAAGCTTTGAAGATTAAGGTTAAGGACTACGAAACAAGGAATACATGTGGCCTTAGAGAAGCTGAAAAGGCAAGGAAACAATTCTCATCTAGAACCTCTAGAAGAAACATAATCTTGTTGTATTAGTTTCCTAGTGCTGCTTTAAGGAATTACCACTGAGTGGCTTAAAAGAGAAATTTATTCTCTGGAGGCTGGAAGTTCAAAATCAGGTCAGCAGGGCCATGCTCTCTGAATCTGGAGTAGAATCCTTCCTTGCCTCTGCCAGCTCCTGGTGGCCTCAGATATTTCTTGGCTTGAGGCAATAACAAGTCTAATGTCTGCCTCCATCTTCACTTAGCGTTCTGATGTGTGTACCCCCTTTCCTCTTCCTATAAAGACATTAGTTATTGGATTTAAAGCCCTCTGATCGAGCATTTTTTTTTTTTAAAGATGTTATTTATTTATTTGACAGAGAGAGACATAGAGCGAGAGAGGGAACACAAGCAGGGGGAGTGGGAGAGGGAGAAGCAGGCTTCCCACAGAGCGGAGAGCCCGATGCGGGGCTCGATCCCAGGACCCTGCGATCACGACCTGAGCTGAAGGCAGACGCCCAATGACTGAGCCACCCAGGTGCCCCTAGCATGACCATCTTAATTACATCTGCAAAGACCCTATTTCTTTCTTTCTTTCAAGATTTTATTTATTTGAGAGAGAGAGCATGAAAAGGAGAGAGAGGAGGGGCAGAAGGAGAGGGAGAAGTAGACTCCCCACTGAGCAGGAAGCCCAATGCATGGCTCGATCCCAGGACCCTTGGATCATGACCTGAGCCACTTAACTGACTGAGCCACCCAGGTGCCCTGAAAAGACCCTATTTCTAAATAAGGTCATGTGCTGAAGTTCCAAGTAGACATGAATTTTTCTTGGGGGGGTAGGTACTATTTAAAATCACTATACCTACCAACACCTTGATTTTAACTCAGTAAAACCTATTTCAGATTTTTGATCATAAGAACTAAGGTAATAATTTGTTTTTAAGCAATTAACTTTGTATTATTTTGTTATACCAGTAATGGAAAACTAGTACATTGCTAAACCGTCCAAAGTGGCTGAACCATTTGCATTCCTACCAACAGTGCATTAGGGTTCTAGTTTTTCTACATCCTCACCAACACTTTTTTTTTTAAAGATTTATTTATTTATTTGAGAAACTGTGTGCATGAGAGAGCAGGGGGAGCGGCAGAGGGAGAGAGAATCTCAAGCAGACTCCCTGCTGAGCGAGGAGACCACTGTGGGGCTCAATCCCAAGACCCTGAGATCATGACCTGAGCCAAAACCAAGAGTTGGATGCTTAACCAGACTGAGGCACCAGGCACCCCTCACCAACACTTTTTATTGTCTTTCTATTTATGCCATTTTAGCGGTATGAAGTGATAATCTCATTAGATGTGCACTTCTCTAATGACTAATAATGCCGAGCATCCTTCTGGATGGTTATTAGCCAATTGTCCATCTTCTTTGATAAAATGCCTGTTTTTTTGCCCATGGTCTAGGCCTGAGAATAAACCAAAAATTTTTACAGTAATAAGAATTCCCATTTTTATATTGGAGTGCTTATTCTGAGTCGTAAGGAGTTCTTTATATATTCTGGATACAAATTCTTTATCAGATATATAATTTGCAACTATTTTCACCCAATTTTTGGCTTGCTTTTTCATTCTAACAGTGTACCATACTAATGTAAACTATTACTAATAGCAGAAACTGGAATTCTCTGTACCATCTTCACAAATTAAATCTAAAAACTATAAAACTGTTCTAAAGTAAGTTTGTTGGGATGCCTGTGTGGCTCAGTTAAGCGTCTGCCTTCGCCTCAGGTCATGATCCTGGAGTCCTAGGATTGAGCCCTGCTTCAGGCTCCCTGCTCAATGGGGAGCCTGCTTATCCCTCTCCTTCTGCCCCCCCCCCCCGCCCATTCTTCCCCCCCCCCCCCTATCTCTCTAATAAAATAAAAAAAAAAAAAAAAGTAAGTTTTTTTTTTTTTTTTTAAAAGGAGAAACTGTCAGATTAAGAGGTGATGAGACATTTCAGCCACTTAAAATGTGTGGAGGACCTTTCTGGATTTTAACTTGAAAAAGACATAAGACAAATAAGAAAAAGCAAATACAGACTGGGCATCAGATCATAAGATATTAGGTGTAACAGTATTATAGTTACTTTTTTTTTTAAAGTCTCCATGATAAAGACTCATACTGTATTATTTACAGATAGAATGAGATAGTACTTCAAGAATTTCCTTTGAAGTACTCCAGCAAAAAAAGGAAAAATGGGAAAGTATTGATCAGGCAAAGACAAAAGAATATGAGAATTAATACTACCTAATGGAATTGAATGCATTGAGGGCTCAATGCACTATTTACTTTTATAGGTGTTTGAAAATTTCCATAACAAAAAATAAACATACATTACTTATTTACATAAGGAACTACAAAGCTGTAGCACTTTGCATTTATGTTAAGTTTTATAGCAACTTTGACTAAAAAAGAACAAAGACATGCTATTTTTGATACCAAAACTCATGGTAGAAAGCACTTGATGCCTGACTTATTCTTGACCATTTGAAAAAACAGTAAAAGGCAAGAATTTCAAACCTTTAACAAACCACAACCCCTCAATTTCCAGCTGTACCAAGCCTTCAGTTGCAGAAAAGAAATTGAATAAGAGCTGGATAAGAGTGAGCCTTCCGTTCTGGTACAGACCTCCTCCTCTAAATTCATCAATCTCAGGATAGCCTGTTACATAGTCTTTGCCTTTGGTATAAATGGCCACATATCCTGACACTTTTTTCCATTAAAACTACTGTCAAACACGTTTTAGGTAAAATGATCATTAAAAAAAAAATTATTAGGGTGCCTGGGTGGCTCAGTTGGTTAATTCATATGTTCAGTTAAGTAAATTCATATGACATGTCATTTTTTTCTTGTTTTTCCAATCTATAACAAACTTTGGTTAAGCAACTGCCTTCGGCTCAGGTCATGATCCCGGAGTTCCGGGATCAAGTCCCGCATCAGGCTCCCTGCTCGGTGAGGAGCCTGCTTCTCCCTCTGGCCCTCCCTCCTCTCATGTACACTCTCTCTCTCTCTCTCATTCTCGCTCTCTCAAATAAATAAATCTTTAAAAAAATAAACAAAAATAAAAATAAAAAATTATTTATATAATGTAGTTTAAATGCTACCTAATGTGACTGGAAGCAATGTTGGCATTAAGTAGATAAAAACAATTAGATAGTAGGGG